AAGTGACTATGGCACTGGGAAACAGGTAACCCTAAAGTGAGAGTGTGCCACTTACTCTCTCCATTTCCACACGTGGTATACAATATCATAGCCAGACTTGTAACATAAATAAAATCTATTTCACTGACTGCAAAAACCTGGAAAATGTTCTTGCACCTGATTGAGTGAAGAATTTCATTTAAACACACTCTTGAATACGAATGCCACTGTCCTGTTTGCTTTGAGATCTGGGAACTCCACCCAAAGCTGCTTTATACAGCCACCTGGGCAAAGCTCACAGAGCTGCTACAGCAAATAACCCCTTGCTCCTGTTAGTTAAACAACATGTAGGAACCATCAGCCTAATGATTCAATGGCGATGCTGCTTCTACTGAAAAACAAGTGAGATAAAAATCTCTGAAAAAAATATACTAGTTGGATCCCCTGAATGCTACACTTGCAAGGCCCAGATGAAATGTGGCTCATTACACACAAGAGCATTTCTGCCACCCTTCCTTTACTACCCCACTAGAGAGAAGCAGATGTTTTAAGGGTGACCAGCACACATTTTAGCCTGAAAGAGCAGGGCTTGGGTCTCAGTCCTAACCCCACCGGCAGTGGACACTGGACATGTGTCCACCCTCTCAGCACCAGTGTCCAGTTTCTCCAGCTTCTAGTAATAACATCAGAATGCACCTCCAACCAAATAAGAGAAATCAACTAATATTTAACTTTGAAAGCAAAACAGACAATGAAAATGACTCGTTTACCATCAAACACTGAGTTCTTATAGATATCTGCCATTTTTTTCCCTAATGTCCCTTTTTCCTTCTTTGAACAACAGAAATGTTTCCTTTCAAGAATGAACCCAAACCTGCCAGCTGGGGCTCAGTCCCACAGCTCCAAAAGCTCCACCACAGAAGCGAGCACATGACCCCCTCGGCCCTGGAAAAAGTGGCTGACCCGGGGATGAGAACATGAACCTAAGAGGGCCACTTGCACATCCTGCAAAGATCTGGCGGGTTAACTTTCTCCTGTAGGATACCTCTTTGTTGAATTCCCAAACTTATCAATATATTTGCCAAGCAATGTTTACAAAAAAAAATTTTTCCTTACATCCTAAAGTATTCCAACATGTCATAGAAAGATGTACACACAGAAAGTCACAGGTTGCATTCCACATGCAACTGGAAGTCAGAGTTGTGTGTAGACATCTTGGGAAGCACATTTAACAGACCACACCACACGACAGTGTAAACAGCCTTTCCGTGCACTGGGAAACCAAAACCTACGCGTGCCTCGCTGTTCTGCAGGGGTCTGGACCCAACCCACAGCACCTCTGCAATACACCTACGCATGTTCTAGAGAAGGCTGATCTGAACCCTCTGGACTGAGAACCAGATAAGCTGAGGCAACTGAAGGCCAAGGAAACCATCACCCAACTTATTCAACAAATATGACATAGCAGGTACTTTCTCCATAAAGGGCCACGTAGTAAATATTTGAGACTATGTGGGCCAAAGTCTCTGCCACTCGGTCTGTCATTGTAGCCTGAAAGCTGCCACAGACAATACATAAATTAATGAGTATGGCTTGTACCAATAAAAATGTATTTATTATAAAAAATGTAAGTATTATAAAAACAGGCCATGGGCTGGATTTGGTCCATGGACCCTAGTGTGCCAACACGTTCTCATGACCAATTACAGGGCACTGTGGGGCTAGTCTTATTACCCAGCAACAAACAAACAAACAAGAAAGTAAATAAAATAGGTACGTTTCCGTAGTGATGAGTGCTGCTAAAGAAACCAGGAAGGAAAGCATAGAGGTAGATTTAGGATAACTCCATTTAACGTGAGGCGTCAGGAAGGTCTCTCTGAAGAGAGTGTGAGTAAAGACCTGCAGGAAAGGGCCGTGCAAAGGAGGAGCAGCAAGTGTCAAGATTCAGGAGAGAAACAAAGTCAGGCATTCAAAGAAAAGCAGCGAGACCACTGGAAGTAATGAGCAAGGGGAAGGTGGTCAGAAATGAAATGAGGTTAGTCAGGAGCCAAGACATGACAGTAGTTCGAATTTGCTCCTCGGTGCCATGGGAAGCCACCGGAGGCTTTATTTAAGCAAGAGAGTGGCAAACACTATAGCAGATTTGTAAAAGGCCACCCTGGGTACTGTGTGGTGATTCAGAGGACACCTGAGAGGCAGAAAGGTGAGAGAGTTCCAGCCGTCGTCTCTCTACGTAAGATGGTGCCTAGAGTTGTCGCAGCAGAGAGGGTGTGGAACAGGTGACCTTTGGAGCACCGTCTGCAGACGGGCTGATGGGTGCAAGTGGGTGAGAGTAAGAGAAGCAAGACTGGACTCTCAGGTTCGGGGTCTAAGCAAGGCCTGTGCCTCGGCACAGCGTGAATGATGACACCGGTCACTGAACCTATAAAGACTGGCAGAGCAACAGCAGGCTCTGAGGGTGGGGAAATGGAAAGTCTAATAAGGTTGGGATATCGCTCGCAAGCATGCAATAGGAAGGTGTACACATAAGTCTGGAGCTCTGGTGAGAGGCCAAGGCCAGATGTGTACATTTGGAAATCATCAACCTAGAAAGCATTTTAAGCTGTGGAACTAGGTAAGATCGCCCAGGAATGAGCAATGATAGAAAAGGGGCCTGAAGACTGGCTGCGGGTCGCGTCAACTTTGGGCAGATATAGAGAACAGGCTCTAGCAACAGAGGCAGTAAGGGAGGGTGCCTAAGAGTGAAGCCAGCACAGGAGGGAAAGGAGACACAGGGAGCCAGTACCGACAAGGTCTGTCAGCCCTGGACCCACTGTGCCTAAAACTCCAGTAACTCTAGGGCTTTTCAGTTTTGTAGGCCAGTAAGTTCCCTTCTGTGCATGTGCCATCTGAGCTGGGCTGCCGGCACTTAAGACTTGGAAGAATCATGACTAAAGTCATGCCTGTCACATGGCAGGTATTTTTTTTTGTTAAGGCTGCAAGAACATACAACACTAAATCCTGCCATTGGGGAGCTCACAGTCCCACAAACAAGTGCTATATGCTATGAAATATAAGTGCACAGGAGAACAGAAGAGAGGGAGCAGATTCAAACAACAATAGGAAGGACAGTTATATTTATCTCCCTAATATCTATAGTTAAAGAAATACTTGAATATATATGCAAAAGGCAAGAAACATCCCTAGAGCAAAGGAGATAGGAATCTGGGAGTGAAACTTTGTCATGCAAAATAAATCAACTGGATAACTCAAATTTGACCCAAAAGTAATAATCCACTCACAGTTATGAATTTGTTTTGTAGTGAAACTGTGTAAGTTCAACAAGATGATAAAAGTTTATGCTGAAAGAGGCCCAAACTGCAAGAGCTCATCCCTCACTTTGAATTCAGGCTTCCTCTCGTAACTGATAATTCCAGTTAATATGTGACATAGCATAGAAAGGCAACCCTTAGGCTCAGTGTAACTTTCAACTCTGTCTCTTCTCTACACTGGCTTTGTGACCCTGGTCCAGCTGGTTAACTTGAGTCTCAGGGCTCTCATCTGTACGTGATGGCAAAATACAATCTTGGAAAGGCAGTAACAGGAAAACAAGGCCCCAGGCACACCACACCCCTCAACACAGGGGCAGCACAAGGTAGCCCCCCCCCGCTCTGTAATTCCACACTGACCCCACCTGCTCTTTTCTAACCTACTAACGCACATTTACTGGGCCGTCAGGTTAAGATGGATTCAAATGCCAAAATTCAACCCTTGGATTGATTCCTCCAGAGTTATCTAAGAGCATAAACACATCTTTTACACCTACAAACAAGAGAAACAAGCATTTTTAGAAGGACATTATCCCAATAATTCAAACTGAGTAGTGCCAAAGCCTTCCTCACCTACGCTTTCCTGTATGAACCAAAACAAAAAGACCCAAGGTTATTGAAACCTTACATTTGTCCCTTTCCAAGAAAAGATACTACACCCATGAACTCTAGCACCATGTCGTTTTGTGCTCACTGTTGGCTATCGCATGTTGAGAAGTGGGAGGGTGAAAAGTGTTTTTTTTCTCTTAATGTTCAGGGATGGGTTCATATTTAACAGTGAAAAGTAACAATTTTGTTGGACGCCTCTGGATATTCTGTGGTCCAAATTTTGTTTACAAAATACACAGTTCCGCTCACATAAGTCAAAGCATTCAGCATACGGACCGCGGAAGAGAGCAGTTAACTACTACTTCCCTTTTCCTGTCTAACCCCATCTAGTGACTTTTCATAATTTAACTTGAACTATGCTGAAGTAGATCTTATATTCTGCCCTTTATGATCTTTTGCCCTTTATTTCATGGTGCTAAAAAATTACAGATGGTTATAATATAGATCCATGGTACTTAACGAGTGAAACAGAATTTGGCCACAGAAAATTTCTTTTAGTAACTTGACTCTAATGATTCATCGTCATGTGAAAACACTTGCAAACTGAGGGAGGTTTTCTAAGTCAAGCACAATAACATATCTATTTTTGTACCAACTTCTGTTTGTGTGCAAATGGTAATTCAAATAAAACAAATGTTCAGAAATATTATTTTTAAATTAGGTATAATTCCAACAGAACAATAACGTTCGCACTAACTGAGGCCAAAACCGGGAAAGTTCATGGCTGTGAAATACAAGTGGGATTACTGGCAGCTCCAGGCTCCCCGCCCGAGACAATCTGGGCCCTAAACACATTGACCACTATGTGGAAAACGGACATAAAACAGACTGTAAAGAAAACAGGAGAAATGAACTTATAAAGAAATACAACAAAATGTTTGAATTTTATAGTGATGAAAGCATCAACTCCTCAGAAGACGCGGCAATTACAAACATACATACCTCACAACAAAGACCACTGAGAAACTTTTCTTATTTTGTCAATGTATGTTGTTTTAATTTATTGTCCAATTATTATAATTCAAATTTTTACTTAAAGTCTCTATAAGGAAAGTGATCTATCAGGATGTTCTTAAGCAATCAAATTCCTAATGTGATACTCACGGCCATTCTGACTCAGGCTGCTTTTGGTGCGCTTCTACGACATTAATGGCAATATTGAGGTTTTCTTCCAGTTCTTTCATTCTTTCCGAATTAAGAGATGTGAACAAAATCATTGAAGAATAGGCAACAATTTTTTTGTCTGGATGATTTAAGCAGGACCTTCCAAATGAAGATACGAAAGTGTCAGCACGACTGAACATCATGATAAAATATGATAATAGCACATAAATAATAATAATCCCAATAACAAATTCAGTACAGCCCGGCCGGGCGTGGCTCAGCGGTTGAGCCTCAACCTAGGATCCAGGCGATCGGGGTTTGATTCCTGGTCAGGGCACATGCCCGGGATGCGGGCTCGATCCCCAGTAGGGGCGTGTAGGAGGCAGCCGATCAATGACTCTCTCATCATTGATGTTTCTATCTCTGTCTCTCTCTCTCATTTCCTCTCTCTGAAATCAATAAAGATATATTTAAAAAAAAACCACACAAACAAATTCAGTACATAATGAATTTTTAACAATTTAATGAAGAATTACACCACTTTGAAACAAGTACATTGTTTACTATAAAAACAGCAAGTATAAAATTAGTCACAACACAAAGCATCCACTAATAGTTAGGAAGGACAGACTGTTTAAGGGGAAAGTGCTGTACTGGCAAGAAATAAACTTTGGAGTCAAGTGCCTCAGTGTAAAGCCTGGTTCATCCACCTATCGTCTATGTGATCTTAGGAAGGTCTTAATTTTTATGTTATGGGTCATGTATAAGACAGAATTTTATTTTTCATTTAAACTTTGTAATACTCTTCAGGAGAAAGTATTAGCCTTATATTTCAGATAAAAAATGTGATGACTTTATGTGCCCAAAAACACAAAGCCAGTACCAGCCAAAGCTAGAATCTGGTTATACTTGTCTCAGAAACACATCAAGAGTGAAATCACCTAACCCCTTACAGTGTTTTCTGACATAAAAATGGCACCCAATAATGAGAGCCCCTCAGTCTACCTCACCGGGCCTCTGTGAGGATGAGGTAATATATGTCAAGCACCAGGTAAACTGTCACGACTTCTCTGAGCACCTGCACTTGTCAAGAGCCTCTCCTCTATGTTGCTATGACACCTGCATGTATCTAGTTAGGTCAGTTCCTACACTACAATGTGCTCGCCTATTCCATTATCTCCCCCACCACAGCATGAGCTCTTTGGGTATATGAGTATCTCTAAGTTACCCATATGCTGCTCATCTAGCTCAGAACCTGGCAAGACATTAGGCACCCAAGATGTTTTAAAGGAATGAATTCTCAAAAATAAGTAATTTTTTTGCCCTGGCTGGGTGGCTGCTGGTTGGAGCATCATCATCCTGCACACCAAAATATTGCAGGGTGGATTTCTGATCAGGGCACATACTTAGCCTGTGAGTTTGATCCCCAGTTGGGGCACATACAGGAGGCAGCTGATGGATGTTTCTCTCTCACACTGATGTTTTTCTCTCTCCCTCCCTCTCTCTCTAAAAAAAAAAATCAATAAAAATATATCCTCAGGTAAGGATTAAAAACATAATAATAATAATAAGTAATATTTATTTCTGTAGCTTGAATTTCACAATTCTTTCCTTCTACCTAAGCTCAATTATTACTAATTGTACAGGTAACAGACATATATATGCCTTCAACTCTAATTATCTGCAGGGATTTGAGTGGCAGTTATACTCAGTGAGCAAGAAGGAACATGAGAGTTATGTGATGTGAGCACCATACATTGCAGGTGACCCAGAAAAACCTATGCAACTAGGGAAGGCAATGAAGAATGCAGGCAGAGGGGTTATATTCCAGCTCTGCCATTTACCAGCACTAAGCGTCAATTCCCTCATCTGTCCAAACAGGAACAGCACCACTTACCCGCAGGGCTGGGCACAGAACAGGGAAATATACAGATGTACCCAGCTCAGGACATTCGAACAACAGCTGCTGTCCTGCTAATATTGTTGCCACTACCAAAGTCACTCCATTTGGTGGCAACACAGCCAGGATTAGAAACCAGGCCTCTGCTCCCAGACAGAGCTTTTCCCCTTCCCTCTCCTGCCTCCATCACCTGCTCACCTTTTCACTCAATTTCAACTTCTTATGAACTAACAGAGCCGCTCAGAACAAAGCAGGAGGTCACCAGGAAAAGTACCTGAACCAAGCTAGATAAGCGGGCTGGTACCCATACCAACAGGTGTCCACATCCACCAAAACAGCGTTGTGCCAGCACATGGGAAGTGAACAATAAACACGAGTGATTATAACTCACTGCCCACACTTCAATCTTTGATGGCTTTTTTCTTATAAATTATAGTGTCTGCTAAGGACAATATTTCTCATTTTAACCCAAACTTTTATTTTCTTAAAGTGAAGCTGACACACAACAAAAGGCACAAATCAAAAACCAATCCACTTTTAGACACGTATACACCTATGCAATCACCACCCACCTCAGAACCCCAGAAGACATGCTCATGCCCTCTCAGCCAGTATTGAACCCACCACCATGCACCAAGAAAAACCACATTCCTTATTTCTATAAGCAAAGGTTTGTTTTCCTGTTTTTGAACTTCATGTAAATGGAATGATATACCACAGTCTTTTCAGAAGTTAGAAAAACTCTTATCAGTATACTCACAGGAAGAGTTCTGGGAAAGCATGCACCCAAACGATCGCCTGGGAGTCTTCATTCCGTGAGGCAATATTGCCTAAAAACTGCAGGCCACAGCGGAAAGCTAAGAATTTATAAAAGTAAAAAAGATATATGATTAAAAAATCTTTTTAACACAATGAATAAATACATCTTAATAAGAAACATTCCCAATATTAGTAAACAGGAAGTTTCTGTTAGCGTCTTTTAACTATAAAGGTCTCTGGCCACATGAAACTGGGCGTGGCATTACCATTAAAATGCCTTACAAAGCCATGTACTCTACAAAGTTAACTTCTGGAAAAGATTATAAAAGTAAACACAAATATACCTGTAATTACATATTCAGTAATATTACAGTACATATTCCAATATTATGTACTCCAATTTTTAAAATGTTACTCTTACACTAGAGTTTTTAAAGTTAAAGCATGGTAAAAAAGGCAAATACCAGCCTAAAAAGAACATCATAGACCATTTAAAATCAGACATAATAAACTTCAAGGCTAATGCTTAAGGCAAAAAGCATTACAGAGGAATTTTGTAAAAAGTCATTTCAGAATGACTTAATTCACCAGAAAGATTTAGTAACAATTTTAAACTGGAATGACCTCATAACATGTACTCAAATACATAAATAAAAGAAAAACTGACAACACTATAAAGAGAAAAATCAGCAATTAATTTGGGCAATTGTAATACACCTTTCTCAATAACTTAGGGAGTAAGCAGACAAAAATATCAATATATTTAAAAGATCTGAATGTGATTTATTAACCACCTTGTTGACACGTTTAGAATATTTCACCAAATAAAAGTGCAAAATAATAGACAAGCCCTAGTCGGTTTGGCTCAGCAGTTAGTGTCAGCCCACAGACTGAAGGGTCCAGGCTGTGACTCTGGCAAAGGGCATGGACCTCGGTTGCAGGCTTGATCCCCAGCAATAAAGGACAAAATCTAGAATGCTGAAAACACCAGATGCTGGTGAGGCTGTGGAGCAGCAAGAACTCTCTCACTGCGGGTGGGAATGCAAATGGTGCAGCCGCTCTGGAAAAGTTGGGCGATTTCTTAACAAAACTAAACATGCTCTAGCGTACAACCCAGTAATCATACTCCTTGATATTTACCTAAAGGAACTGAAAACTTATGTCCACACAAAAACCTGCACACAAATGTTTATAGCAGCTTTCTTCATAATTGCCAAAAGGTGGAAGCAACCAAGATGTCTTTCAATGGGTAAATGGATAAACAAACTGTGGTACATCCATACAATGGCACAGTATTCAGAGCTAAAAAGGACTTACTTAGCAAGCCGTGAAAAGACAGAGAGGAAACTTAAATGCATATGACTAAGTGGAAGAGGCCAATCTGAAAAGGCTGCCAACTGTATGATTCCAACTAGATGACACTCTGGAAAAGGCAAAACTATGGAGACAGTAAAAAGAACAGTGGTTGCCAGGGGTTAGGGAGGGAGGGATGAGTCGGCGGGACACGGAGGGCTTTTAGGGCAGTGGAACTACCCTTTATCACACTGCAATGGTGGGTGCGTGTCATTACACAGTGGCCCACACTCACAGAATGTACCACACCGAGAGCGAGCCTGATGTAAACTGCGGGCTCCGGGTGCCGCGAGGCGTCGGTGTAGGCTCGTCGATTGTAACAAATGAACTACTCTGGTACCAGGTGTCGATGGTGGGAAAGGTGTGCAGGTCTGGGGGCAGGAGACACATGAGAAATCTCTGTGCCTTCTTCTCAATTCTGCTGTGAACTTAAAGCTGTTCTGAAAAATGAAGTCCCTTAAAAAAATTTTTTTTTAAAAGAATAGTAAAATAAAACTGTTTAGTGACCAAAAAAACCCACAAATGACGACCTAAGTTCAATTCCCAACTTTTAGTGTGAACCTGCACAAGTTACTTAATTTAGTAAGATCTAATTTCCTCATCATATAATGGGGCCGACAGTACCTATTTTGAAAGCTATTGTAAGGATGAAATGTGAACTGCCTAAAAGTGTTGGGCGTGTAGTAGGGAACACATTAAATGCTCACCTGGCCACCCTCTACTAGCACATAATATGGACTTGATAAATGTCAGCTTAAAAGTCAGGTTTTCAAATTTCAAATTAAAACGTGTTTGGTCCTGTGGTCAGAGACTCTAACTGGAAACCTTGAGTGCTTAGGGTATAAATCCTTAAAATAATCTTATTATTGAGACAGGTACTTTCATCCTCATTAGAGAGCACAGGAAACCAAGGCCCACAGAGGTTATCAGTAACTTGACCAAAGGTACACAGTTATAAAGCATCACAACTCTGGATGTATCCCTGTGATCGCAGCAACCCAGTATGGTATGAGTGTTACCTCAAGCTTATCAGAAGCTCTACTCAGTAGTTATATATGAATGTGATTTTAATAAAAAGGAAATTTTTTAAAAACTGCAGCATATACATGCTTCCACTGCAAAACAGTATTTCACCATATCATAGAGGGAAAGACAACCTCAGCAAATTTTAAAAAACTGATATATGAATAGTATTCACTTACCACACTGCAATTACACTAGAAATAAATCCCCCAAATAATTAGAACATCCCCATTGTTTAAAACTAAGAGATATAGTTCTAAATAACCCATGGGGTCAAAAGAGAAATCATAATGAAAATGAAATATTTCAAACATAATGTTAACAAAAATACTACCAACCAAAACTTTTGAGATGCAACTAAAACAGAACAAAGGGAAATTCACAGCTTTAAAATGCACATGCTGGGAAAGATGAATGACGGAAATCAATGAGCTAAGCAGTCTTTTTGTGAAATTATAAACAGAATGGCAAAGTAACACCCCAAAATGAAGGAAGAAAATAAAGATGAAGAGCAAGAAATTATTAAAATTGTAAACAATTTAAGAAAAAGAAGAGAGTATCAACAAACCTAAAATTGATTTCTTTAAGAAGCTCAATACTGATCACCCTTTGGGAAGATTGAGCAAAAGAGAAAAAAGCACAAATAACAAAGAAAATTTTTCAGAAATGAAAAAGAGAACACTGCCATAGATCTTGCAGACATAAAAAAGGAAAACTGTAAGATATTACAAATAACATTATGCCAAAATGCTTTAAAATTTAAATAAAAGAACTGAAACCCTAGAATATAACTAACAAAAACTGACTCTGTAAAATATTCAGGAAAAGCCTGAAGAGTCCCCTAGCCATTACGGAAATTGAACCAGTAGTCAAATACTTTCCCCAAAAGAAAACCCCAGACCAGAATACGGCCAGTTCACATTCAAGGAAAAAAAAATTCCAATTTACACAACTCTTCCAGAGAACACAAAAAGAAGGAGTAGACTCCCAAACCAATTCTTGAGGCTAGCATAACTGTGAGACAGAGTAAGGATGGTATCGGAATGGAAGGTAACACTCACGGTACGAAACAATATGCTAGCAAAATGAATCCAGTAACACTTAACATGACAACGTTGAATTCATACCTGCACTGAAAGCTGCTCTAACATTAGAAATCAAAATTTGTAATTGACCACATCAATCTGTAAAAGACAGAATCATATGATCATCTGAAATACTGCAGAAAACATATTTAATAAAATTTAACACCCATTCATAATTTAAAACTAAACAAAAAAACTCCTAGCCATCAAAGAATAGAAGGGGGCTTCTTTAACCTCAAAGTATCAACACAAAACCCACAGCACACGTTATAATGGGCCGCCAACTGCAGAGAGCGTTCCTTTTGAAAGGGAATGAGCCCAGGTCCTGCTCTTCCCACCCCTGGTCCACGCTGCAGAGATCTCAGTCGGCAGGACAAGAACACAAAGGCCCAAGAAGCAGGAAAGGAGAAACTAAGCTGTCACTTTACCTCCAGCAGGTGAAATGTCATTTCTAATCTATGTGGGAAATATATGTTAAACCTGTAAGTTATCTGAATTAATAAAACAGCTTATAAACATTGCTGGATACAAAGTCAATATTTTAAAATGCATAATATTTCTATATACAAGAAATGAGCAAAAAAAAATCAAGAAAGGACCCCATTTATAAAAGCATCAAACATACAACTACAAATGTATGCCGCTACAAAAATTCTAAAACTAGATATTAAAGTAGAACTAAATAAGTAAGAATTAGACCATGTTCACAGATTAGAGGACTAGAAAGTAAATGCAATTCCAGTCTGAATCACAACCGGGGGGGCGTGTGTGTGTGTGTGTGTGCGCGCGCGCTGTAATTTCACACACCACAGGACGTGTGTATGTTTCTGTGTCTATGTACTCTGACAAGACAATGCTGTTCAAAACAATGAGATGAGAGGATTTGTTTTCACAGGACAGTAGCAACTACGGGTAAGACAGTGTGGACCTGGGGCAGAAACAGATAAACAAAACAATAGAACAGAAAACGGAACAGGACAAGAACCAGACTCAGACCTACACTGACATGTGACTAACAACGGGGATGTCACAGCAGACAGCTGAGTAAGAGTCAGTCTTTTCAAATATATAATACTGGGACAACCAGAGGCCAGTAATGGAAAATGGAAACTGGGCTCCTTGCTCACAAAACAGAAATTCAATCCCATGCACTAAACTAAATGTAAAAAAGTCAAAGTAGAAAGGTTTTTAAAAAACAAGTGTAGAATAAGATTTTTAAACAAAACACATAAATAATACCCAAAAGGAAAATATTAATAAACTATATATTAATAAACTACATTAAACTTAACACTATTTTTTTCCTCAAGACACCACAAAACAACAACAAAGAAAACTATCCATAGAATCAGAAAAGACACAGAACACAAATGAAACAGGCTTCATATACAGAGTATGTTAAAAGAGCTCTTAGAAATCATTTAAAAAGACAATCAATCTAAATTAAAAAAACCCAAGAACTTGAAAAACACTTAATAAGATAGCCAAAAAGCAAATACACACACATACACACACACGTGAAAAGTGTTCAACCCCATGGGAAAAAGCATGAGATTCTACTACATATCCACCAGACTGGCAAAAATACAGTCAGAAAATACCAAAGTGTTTGTGAGGATGTAATGCAACAGGAACAC